TAGCTCTGGGAAAGCAAAGTTTGATAACAATTATAGGATGAATGCAAAATTTTTTATAGTGCTTCATAAAAAATTGTAATCATTTTGCTTAGGAAACTGTACCTTGTCTCAGACCTTCAATTTTTCTACTAAATATAATACCTGAATAAATATAATATGGTAATTTCTACTAAATAATAAGGCATTTCAGAATCTAACTTCTCTGAGATTCTCTGCAGGAATGTGTTGTTCCTCACAGTGTACTGCAAGATTTGAGGACAGAAAAATCCTCTGTTTATAGCAACTAATGTCACTTTCACCTGTTTCTCTTCTTTTTTAGGACACTGGTGTGGGCAAATCCAGCATTGTGTGGAGATTTGTAGAAGATAGTTTTGATCCCAACATCAACCCAACAATAGGGTAAGAAAATAGCTCAATAAATGTGGTTTATTGAAGGATGAAGTGAAATTATCTCAGCAGATCACTTGGGGATTCTTCGTGTGTGGCAGCTAAATGTGGTAATAAACATTGCTGCAGCCTTAATGAAGCTCTGGGGTACCTTAGGACACGTAGGAGTGTTCTCAGCACTCCTGCAGCTTCCACTGTCATGTGTGAGGTCTGGACCCATTTTATATTGTTAATTGAAGCTGACAGTGAGTAAATCACACTACAGATCCTTCTGCTAAAGGGAAAACAAGGTTTGCTTGTGCCCTGAAGTGTCAGAGTCTAATCATGATGCAACTGCATGATTGCTTTGTAAAGACACAAGTCCAGTACCAAGTCTCCTAGGTTTGTGAAGGTAGTTAACGCATGGATTCAGGTTGTAGTTCTCCCCATGGATTGGTTCAGATGTTACACATCTGTATGCAGTGCACACACACACAAGTCCCTGATGAAGCTGTTGATGCAGTTGGACTCAGGTATGGAGCATATCTGAACATTGAGCCTCAGAGGAGCAACATCACTGTGCTCAGATCTTCAGATGGATAGAAGGCAGGGCAAGGAATTCTCGGAGTGGTTGGATTTTTGTTTGCTCTCTTATTTAGGTGTGCAAGTGCCACCTGGGCTGCTTTGGTCAGAAGTAACTCTTGACTTACAGGAGGACACAATTTCGCAGGGTGCCGAGAAGTCTGTGGGGGTGTCAGTGCAGTTTCCTGTCCCAGGTGTCACCCAGGCTCTGCTACAGCTCTGACCAAAAAGATGTGCTGATAAAGAGCAGTTGTCTCATCCTGTCCCTTTAAAAAACTGGGGGGCCCATATCTCTGTTTTCCCTTACACCCCCTCTTTTTGGGTGGAAATACTGAATCGCAAGATGTTCTGTAGGCAATAGGGTACAAATTTCCCTGTTAGCAGAGGAATGACCTGCATCAAATCTTGTTGATTTCCCTCCACAGTTTCTTTTAGTCTGGTAGTTTTCTGACTGTGGTGTGTGGGTTGATTCCCTTTCTCTTCTCTCTCCAATGTAGCACCTCTGTGTTTGAAGGCAGGAACCCAAAGAGATCACAGGCACATGTCTTCCCAGGGGAATGTCTACAGCAGCTGCTGTGCAGGGAGTTCAGGTGCTGTTGGAAGGTGTTAGCCATTGTGGTAACAAGGCTGCTGTGTAGAGTAGAACTTCACTGGTTTAAAGGCAGTATTGAGATTGGTATACTTGCTTGAAGTGACAGACTGAAAATCTTAACTTTTAACATCTTAACAAGACCATTCACCAGTCTGAGGACTTGGGAGTTTGCTTTATTAGTATAAATAATTGTGTGAAGCTTCAGACACTCTCAAAATGTGAAGCAAATTAATTTTGGCTTTTTTTTCCTAGACCTTGCTTTTATTATTAGGAGGTGGAAACACCAAAGTAAGGATTAAAGAGGAGTTTTGAGCATCTTATAGAACCTAAAGCTGAGAATGTTTTGACCTTACTCCAGGGTCTTTGAGTTCATGAGATGCAATCTTGTTTCCTGTCCTGTTTTCAATCCTCTCAGAGTTATCTGAGCAATCACACTTTGTTGTTGTGAATGTTTATCACTCAGGTTGCAGAAGCCCTGTCAGAATTCTGCAACTTTGGTCCTCTCAGGATGCTGAGGACACATTTAACCAGTGTGTGTATATATATATATATATTTTTCATATCAAAACAACTGAATTCACTTATGCTTTTTTTCCTGTTTTGATTGTGTTGTATGTGCTGGGTACTGCAGAGTACAGCAGATGCTCCCATCACTCTATACTCATTGCAGAAACGTATCACCTAGTTAACCGTGTTGAAATGCACTGCAATTAGACCCTTTCCTTTTGGGGATGCTGCAATTTGGCTTCTTAAAAGACTAATCAACTTTGGAGATTGTTGTCCTAATTGGCAGATGATCTGGGCTTAAGGAATGGGGAGAAGGGTAACCTCTTAGCAGTTGAAAGCATTTTGTGACTGCTCCTTTTCCTTTTGTTTTTTAAATGTAAATGCTGTTTGTCCTCCTACAACATTGAGTCATGTCCAAAGACTCCAGTTACGTTAACTGTAACAATGCCAGGGGCATCATTAAAATCTGTGTCCTGATGGTACTTAAGATTCAAGCTAAGCTGTAGTTCAGAGTTTTGAGCTCAGGTGTTTAATGTTGTCCATGATGCTGAAAGACTCGGCTGTCATACTCTGACTGTACAACAAGCTTGGAGTACTGTAAGAAGCTCAGATCTCTCCAGAATCCTGTCCAGAACTCACAGTGAAACAAGTTTGGAAGTCTGTAGTATTTTCAAGTGGCAGGAATTAATCATACAAAAGGTGTTCAGGATCATAATGTAGGACCTCACCTGCTTAAAATAATTGTGGCATCTGTAGTTCCAACTCTACAAGGATTTGAATGCTGTGTGTGGCTTTTCTGGTAAAAACTGTGCCTACAGGTAATAGATAGAGCAAAGAACTCCCTCTTGTAAGACATTAGGTCTGTGAATTTGTGTTTGTGGGAAATACATTGATTCATCTAGAGCAGATCCAGTAAAGCATAAAAGTACTTTGCAAATATTGTACTGCAAAACTCCTAGAATTTGGGGGTGGGGAGGGGAAGCAGATGGAACATAGGAGAGATTTTCTTGTCTTCTGGAAGTCCAAGAGCCTCTGCAAACTGAAGTATATAATGACAGAGAGGATTTGGGATCTGTAATCAGTGCAGACAACAAGCAGGTTACTCATTATTGATTTCCCTGTCCTCTTAACACCTACCAATACAGGAATCTCCCATATTTTATTCCCAAGTATGGACCTTCCAGCATTTATCTGAATGTTAGTACAGAGATAGAAAAAGCTGATACAAAGGGAAAGGAATTGACCTATTTCCCTCTGGAAGGTTCCAGTATACACTTCAGTGATTTGCTGTGGTGATTCCTCCATTCAGGAAGAATGTTGTTAAAAGACTGACCTTTCCGGGGGTTTTGGTCATACATCCTGTGTGTTTATCAAGAGCTTATTTATGAACAATGAAAACCTATAATTTCCACTCATGTTGCATTTTGTTAGTTGAATTTCAGTGTCTGAAAGGAAATTTCATTCTCTGATTTCAGCCTTTATGTCTGAAAGTCTTCATCACTTTGTGTGTGAGCAAAGCACTTTTATTGGAATGTAAACCTCTTTGAAAGTTCATGGTGGTAATGAATGTTCTAAGGACATATTTATATTCTCCATTTGTTTTTTTCCAGAGCCTCATTTATGACCAAGACTGTACAGTATCAAAATGAGCTGCATAAATTCCTAATTTGGGATACAGCTGGACAGGAGAGGGTGAGTAGAGTCAATATCTGGTGACAGTGTGGCTAGAGCTTGGGTTGGTCTTCATCTCTGCCCCTGGAAGTCCCAATGTGATCTAGTTTTACAAACAGTTATCAGAACAATTGTTTTTATGCAGGTTCCTGTCAAGATGTGGCTGCTGTAGATTATTTTATTTTTTACTGTTACCATGATTAAAGGATAAAGTTAAGGATTTTGACATAAGAAGAGAAGCTTAGGGAGGTTTAGATTTCACTGGAAGGGAATTCTCTTTCCAAAGAAAACCAGGCTGGGCTGGGGGGGAAGGCAGCAGCTGCTCTAGTACCAACTCCAGTTGAGTTGTAAACACTCAAGTGCAATATTTGCAGGCAGTGCAGCTGCCAGCATGAGAATCCCAGTGAAAGGAGTGATGTTTCATAGGACAAGTAGAGCCCTGATTCTGGAAAAATACACATTCTGTTAGCTCCACTGTTGGGGTTATAAATGAGTAGAATCCAGATTTAGGCTTTCCAAAGCAGAGTTTCAAGCCATGCTGCAGGTGATAACTGCTCTTCTATTGTTTTGTCAAGTTTGACTTACCAAATCTGATGGTGTTGGAAGTGATGTCAAGGAATCTTTGGAAATTTACATCTCAGTTTGGTAGTTTGGGATTTTGATCCCTGCAGCACATGTAGTTCTGAGGGGAGGCAGCAAAAGCTAAGATTTTTACTTGGAATTTCAAGGGAAGACTTTGCTAGTGAACTTGCTTGTTTGTGGATCACTAGTAACAGTGGTAGAAGTTACAGTAGCTCTATTGACTGTGCTTATTCTTGCATTTCCTTGACTGCTGTCAGTTACTCACAAGGAGTTGATTTAGGCTGTGAGCTAACTGTAACAAAGGTTGGGCTATTACTTTAGCTTAACAACTGCCAAATGCAGCTGTGCTGTTTTTCCAGGACTGCCTTGAGAAACAGCCCCCAATATCCTCAGAACCACCCCCAATAACAGTAAACAAACAGCTCCTGAAGGCTCAGTCATCCCTGTCCAGGGTCACTTGACCTTTTGGGTCCCTGGTGGAACTGACTTTCCAGGTTTTTAGCTCAATACCAGCCTTCGTGGCTAGACATCAACTCATGTTATTTGTGTTGCATTTCAGTGCTGTAGATTTTGAATGACAATTTCTTTCCTTCCAACAGCACCATACAAAGCAAACTGATGTTGCCAGGGATGTTTCCCAGGAATATGTCCAATAGTATCCATGTTATCACAACTATCTTGAGTCCTGCCTTACTAGCAGTCAGTCAGCAGTTGCTGTAAATAGTTTAAGTGAACATCCTAGCCCGTTCTGGAATGTTGGTGCTGGAATGTGATATTCTGAGAGGCAGAGTATGCATTTTTAGGGGCTGGTACTCTGAAATGGAAAGCTTTATAAACATGCCTGCCACAACTTGGCAGGGAACATCCATTACATATTAGCAATCCATCCTGTTCACTTGAACCGTGTTTGCAAGCAATGGGAGGACACTGTAATTCGGATTCAGCACACTACAATCTGAGGAAGCATCTCTCTACGTGACCAGCATGTTCCTGGTCTATTTTTAGTCTCTGAGTGATACCTCTTTAATTGTCTTCCACACAACTTGTATGATATCTCTATTGAAATCAGAAAAGGAAAGATGTCTCACAGGGCTCTGACCCAGGAGCTGTGATACCTGTGAAGCTAATGTTCCATACCTGAGTGAAGTCACTGTGAGACCCCAGTATAACCAGTGAAATGTGAGCAGGGATGTTTGCTTTGGAATGCTGCCAGTGTCTTCCCAGATACTTCTTTCTCCAGAACAGCACTATCACATCCTGCTAGTCACAGATGGTCTGTATACCTGCCTTGCCCTGATAGCTCTAGCACAGGTCTCTGGTCATGCAACACATCTGATGAGGAATTATGAACAGGATCTCCTCCCTGGTGATCTGGAATGCACAAATGTCCACACCAGTCTTGGAGTTAAATGTCTCTGCTGAGCTGTGATGCAGAATGCATGGAATCTGTGGTCCTGCCTTCCTGAGGAGCATTTGCTATTTCCCATTTCTAGAGCCCAGCAGCAAACACTGCACTGGGCAACCTCTTGTTCTCCATGGCTTCAGGTGTGGGTGTCCAGTGTCACTCCAGAGGTGGGAATGTGCACTAACTCCCATCACACAGCTTATTCCCTGCACGCACACACCTTGTTTCTTCCCTCATTTCTTCTACACCGAGCAAATTTGATAGGAGGTTACTTACAGCAATTAGGATTTTTGCCTCCTTACTAACAGATTTGAGTTTCTTTGGCTAATTACATGATGCTGCTGTAATAATTCTGTCAAAACACACCCTGGAGGCTGGAGGGCAAGCTGAAGTCTTTGGAAAAACTGCAAAAGGAAAATTTAAGTGTTTCTGGTAACATCTGTTTTGTTAATATATTTTATCTGCCGACTGCTCTTAAGGTGGAAAAAAGTATCTAAGTGTTAGCAGACAGGAAATGAGAGTAAGACAAAATCAGCAAGTGAAGGTTGGTTTATTCCCAATGTAAACAGTCAAATAATCAAAAAGCCAGGCTGCAACCAGGCCAAGTGGTGGTTTACCAAATATGTTTCCCTGTACATTTTAGTACTCAGGAGGAAGAGAGGGATTACATCCCCATGTGCACTGAGAGCCTGCCCATGGTTCCCCTGCCCGCTATTAAATATTTTTATATTCTGAACTTCGTGTTCAAAATCCTATTTTTCAAAACAGAATTTGAGAGCCAAATGGAAATGGTCTGGAATTGTGCTTTATAGCAAGATTTTTATGATTTATAATATTGCTCTCAGTTGAACTGTACTGAGCAAAAGGAAATTGGGATTTCATTAGACCTGAATAAGCCTTTATGAAAAACTGAATTCAATTCATTATTTTTACCCTGAGTAATAAGATGCACAAAAGCTTGAAATCAATGTGCTTGCTTTGAAGCAATCCATGCAGTTCACTCTCAAAATGCAGAGGTTTGGTTGCAGGATTAATTGCTTTGTTTCTTTTTAAGTTGGCAGACTATCACAGTGTTTTAAGAAGGCTTTATTGCTGGTTTTGTGCTTTATCACTTTCCTCAGTCCTGGGTTTGTAACACTGTCACTGCAGAAGCACAGGCCTGGTTTATGCCCTGCAGCCAGGCCTGCTGTAGATTTGATTCTAAAAATCACAAGTGAATCACTGCAGCCTTTTGCTGTCCACTGTGTTCCTTAAAGCTTTGCTTGCCACAGGTCACACGGTTGTGGCTTTTGCAGTTTGGAGTTTGAAATGTGCTTTGGAGGAGAAAACTGAGGTGAAATCCTTAAAGCCATGGGTTAGATTATGCAGAAATCAACATTTCTAGCAATTAAGAGTGCCATGATTGATATATGGGCTGGAGGTTGACACCAACCTCTGATCATTTCAGGTCAGCATTGGTATGAACTAGGCTTTGTGAATTTTTTGCCCCAAAGCAAAATTTGTCTGAGTCAAAACTGAACTTGCTTCTTCCTCTACTTTTCCCCTTGCTTGGTGTTCAGAGCTGAACATACATCCAGCATGTTTGTGTATAATCTACAATTTCTGAAGGGAGAGATTCTAATCTAATCTAAATAGGGTCAGGTTTGAGTTTCTGCTGTTTACAGTAGGTGTTTACTGATCCCCAAACTACCTGTCGGCCTGTGTGGAACTGCCTTCCTGGGAGTTTATTTACTCTGCTGCACAGACTTGTTGTAACTGTAAAGAAATGTTTTCCACGAATAGGAGCTTTAAAGCCAGTTCTCACTTTCTTTAATAGTAGTGATAATGAAATCCTGGAGGTGAGTGGAAGATGAGTCACAATGTCTGTGTCTGTCTTTCAGTTCCGTGCACTAGCCCCGATGTATTACAGAGGCTCAGCAGCAGCAATTATAGTGTATGACATCACAAAAGAGGTAAGACGTACAATTTTGAGGGGTATTTTTGTGTCATGGGCCAGTTCTTACTCTTAATTCCTTCCTTTTTTTTTCCTCCCCACACCAGGAAACTTTCTCGACGTTAAAGAATTGGGTTAAAGAGCTTCGCCAGCATGGACCTCCCAACATTGTTGTAGCTATTGCAGGAAATAAGTGTGATCTCAATGATGTAAGGTAAACAACCATTGTCAGTTTGGAGATTTTTCCCTTCTGCTCATAGTGCTAAATGTTTTAAGACTTGAGAGCAGCTGAAAGATACAGAACAATTTCAGCTGTTTTGCTCTAGCTGTTTCTGCTGTCAGAAGGTTTGGTTAGCCTGCCCTGGGATGGTCTTGCCCACTTCCTCCCCCTGTGCTGTGTGAGTATGTGTGTGATTGGGCAGTAAATTGGGCTGTAAAATGGATCCAGATTAAAACTAACCCTTTAAGAGAAGGAAAACTGATCCAAGTGTATTTATCTTTCTCACACCATGAACACTCGCTGGCATAACGGAGTGGGGATAGCAGGGTTAGGAATGAGCAGTTTACAGGGAGACAGGATTACCTTTGCTGCTGGCAGTGCCAAGTTACACAAACCTAAACTGCCTGTGAAACTATAGTGTAATAGAAGCTGTTTACCTCACTTTATAAGAAGTGCCTCTGTCCGTCTGTAGCACCTCATTTTGTCAGGAAAAACATGAAGCCTGTTGGAAAGCATTGTGTAGGGTTTTCTGTCTTGCTTGTTCAGGTGCCTTCCTTCCCTGCTTAAATATTGGGCTGGAATTGGCTGTGGCTGGAATGGGAGCAGGAAAGGTTCTTGAGAAACTTTATGAAGAGCCAAACTTTGAAGAAGGCATGTACTGAAAACAAAAGAAGGCTTTTTTAATTGATGTCCTGGTTAAATGAGCCAAAATTCAGAAAGAAGGTGTGTGTAAACTTCTTGGGTTTAGGTTTCAGTGGAAAAGCTATCACAGCTGGTGTCTCAGAGGAGACAGATGGTTCTGTGTTCAGAGAACCACTGCAAAGGTGGTTCTTAGCATAGTGTTTCAAATTGTTAATACATAGCACTTATCTAGCGAGCTCGAACTTTTGTTAGGAGTATGTCCCTGAAAGGAAATACAGCATAAAATTACTTAGAAGACAAATGTAAGGGAATGCAGTGTTCAGTCTCAAGGCTTAGTTGTTGGTGCCTAGGTGCATCATAAATTATGCAAACACTGCTATTGGAGCTAATGAGCAAGATTCCCTCTACTTTATTCAGGGCCAATGTCTGAGTCACTGATCCAAAGTCTATTGTCTTGATATCCTCAAGTCCCTTGTTACTGCAAGTAGCCTGTGGTTTCTAGAAACCCTGTGTAAAGTGATACAACCTGTAGTCCAGAGCTCTCTCCACCTATTGGGGTTTGGATTTTCCATGTTGTGTAAGGAAACACATGACATTATCAACTTACCTACTGTGGGGTGCAGAATAACTAATACATTTCTGGGCTCTAGTCGTGTGCTCAGTATGAAGTTGTTCCTCTTTATAGCCACATCTTCATGCTTCACAGAAAGTACTAATGATCTGTGCAGTGTTGGGAGATACTTGGGTTGGTAAACAGCTGTAGGAGATGCACTGGATCATTGGAGCTAATGCTTTAGGATCTTCTCAGTGCATCTAGAGCTGATGTGTGTGTGAGGAATAATGCACCACATGATGATTGATTGCAGACCTACACTTAGAGCACTCAAGACAAAACTCCACTGCAGTGTTGTCAGATGGATTAAGGCCTTGGTTAGTTCCTGATTGTGCTCATAGCTCAAGGCAGGGAGACAGCATTGAGTAAAGAATGAGCATCACTTCAGCATGAGGGAGCTCTGGGGTGCCAGAGAGGTAAAATATAAAGTCCTCATTGTAGGGGACACTTAAAAGCTTAATCTGTCCCTTCAGGTTTTGGATAATGAGGAGTTTTTGCATTTACGTGTTTTTCTTTGCTTTGTTTTTCCAGGGAAGTCATGGAAAAAGATGCTAAAGACTATGCAGATTCCATTCATGCAATATTTGTAGAGACGAGTGCGAAAAATGCAATAAACATTAATGAACTCTTTATAGAAATTAGTAAGTATTGAAGCAGTTAATGTTACTTCTTCTGCATGAAATTCAAGTAGAAATTTGACTTCTCTATTACTTTTTGTGCAATTTAGATGAGAGTTACACCGACTTAAATTTGTCAGTCAGACATGAACAACAAACTGCAAAATGAGCTGAATGAATTTCTGGTCATCTGATGACCTCTAAATATTCCTTCTAACGATTTTAAGCCTCCTGTGATGCTGCTGGATAAAATGCAAGCAGGACACTTCTGTCAGAAGTCAGTGTCATCTTACTGTGTCTGTTACTGGATGTTGCAATTAGTACTTCCAAGGTTATGGAGGGAAAGGAAGATCCAAACTCTATACCTGAGAAAAACAATCAAGTTCTCACTCTAAGTGTTTGTACTTAGTCTAAAAAAAGAGCATTTTCAGAAATGCAGGAATTCATCCATGCCAGATTACTGCATGGGGAACAGCAACTGTTGTGTGTAGATTTTCCACAAGTGGTTTTGTGATACCTTGGGGCTTTTTAATACTAAACTGCAAATCTTTCCTGCCTCATTCATGGTGGGGACAAATACTTTTATGTGACTAAAAAGCAGACAGTACCCCAAAGTGAATTCCATGCAGTATTATTTGGGGGTATGTGACAAGTAGCAGCACCAGTGTGCAGGTCTGTCAGCCTGTCTGTGAAAAGAGCTAACTACAGAAACATTGAGACTTCAGGGAAAAAAATAGGGTCTTTATAAGCAGTTGAATACATTGAAGCTGATGGGAAAAGTATGTGCTGTAGATGAGCTTCCTGATTTACTGACTCAATAGTTGCTCTCTAAAATTGATCTTGAATAAATTATGTGGGGGAAAATTCATAAATCCTCCTCAGAAAAGAATGCTCAACCAGGAGCAGTCAATTTTCAAGACTGATGAGATGACTACAGCAGCTCTCAACAAGCACTTCTGAGCTAAGCCCAGTGCAGGTGATCGGTGGAAATACAGGTCAAGATGGTGGTTCTCAATGAAGATGTTCCAGATGGTGTTGCATCCTGCAGAATATATTCACTGAGTGCTTTTACAGCTTAGCTGTCCAAGGCTAGATGAGCATGAAGTGTAAACACTGCTAAATGAGTTTCAAACTGCCTCTACTCTCCCTTTGTGCAGCTAGACCTCTCCCGGACACGATGCAGACTGTCTCTGCCACCCTGCGAGGCAGGAACGCCAGCCCTGATGATGGCTGGCTGGCTCTAGACACATTTTTGTATACAAAACACACACAGAATGCTTAGAATTACTCTCAAGTATAACGTTGGCTATAAATTTCTCTTTCCTGCCTCCCTGTAGGTCGCAGAATTCCATCAACTGACACCAACCCCCAGTCGAGTGGTAAAGGCTTCAAACTTCGGCGACAGCCCTCGGTGACAAAGCGCAGCTGCTGTTGACTGACCCCTTAGAAACTCAAACTTGTTTATACAGTAAGGTGGTCTTGGAAGTTCATAGTTCACGTTGGGTTTATATTCTCAGTCTTAGATCCTTACCTGCTGGTGTTCATACACCCGAGGTCCCCCCAAAGGGACCAGCTCACTCGTGGCAGAGACTGCAGTGCTAACCGTCTGTTTACTTGCAGAATGTGTGGTATCTCTTGCATTCAAAGGGAATCCATCATCACTTTTCTTTGGCCTTGCTTGACAGGAAGGTGGCTATATGGATGGTAGAACTGAAATGTTTCATAGTTTTGTAACCAAGGTTTTAGGAGGGTTTTGGTAAAAAGGGAAATGAGCACTTTCGTGGGACACAGGGGTGGGAGGAGTCTGGAAGTTGATGGCATTTCTTCCTTTTCTTCAGTGAGCCTTATTTGCAATTGAAGTGTAGCTAATCCAAAGTCTGATGGGACAGTTGGTGTGAGATGGCTACAGAATAAGCAACTGAAGATCAATAGTAGGCAGATCAGTCCATCCAGTCCCCAAATCCCATTTGCACTTTTTATTTAAAGCTGATATGCACCGGGGTGGGGACACAGGCAACAGACCTTAAACCACAGACAATCCTTTTTTTCATGCTGACTGTAATCACTTTAAGGCAAACTGATCTGCTCAGAGGCATCTTTTTATTCCTACAAGGTTTTTAATACTCAGATGTTGGTCGAAGCAAACCTAGTCATAGTTCTGACTAAATGAAGTGGTTACTGACTAAAACCAGATGCTGTAAACAGATGCTGCCAGTGGTTCTGATAAGACCTGCAAGTTTTTGGGGAAAGCTTTTTTAATTGCTTGGCATGTGTAAAGTGTTCATATTATATTTATGAGACCAGTGTTTAAAGTATTATAAATTATGTAAAAAATAATACAATCTTCTACACTCCTTCCATTCCACACCTATGGATAAACTCTTGGGGAATCTCCATCAGGGTGTTTTTTCCCTGCATTTTAGGTATTGGCACTATGAGTTCATCCAGAGGCAGATGAAATTCTCTTTCAGTCCTGTTTGAAAGGGCCAATAAATGCTGTTGGTGCAGCATGAGGACTGTCTGTTGCACAGACTTTGGTCTGGGCTGCACCCAACCTTCCCTGCTTTGGGCACAGAAATAGAAATAAGAAGTAACCTTAAGAGACATGTGGTAATGTAGATCATTACCTCTTGGTTCCTGGGGTTTGTCATCTGTGAGGGCTTGTAGCAAACCAGTGTTTAGCTTACCCTGCATTGGTTTTAGTAAGCTTTCCATTAAACTATAGGTTGGCCATACCCATTTTTGCTATCTTATTTATTTGTACTTTCTGTTTCCTGCCAGCACTAGTGAGAAACTTTATACTTTTGAAGAAAAGAGCTTAATAGGCTTGGATATATACTGAAATATGCTGTTTTGCTTTAGTATCAAAATGAGGTCAAGTTGATGATGCTTTTTCTTTGGTTTTAATCTGGTTTTCTATCATCTCAAGGATTTTCTCTGGAGGAAATGTAGGAAAGTTCATAAGCAGTGAAAGGACTTGTACTTCAGCTTAGTTTGTGTCAGTGAAAATTCTTGGAGACTGTTCTGAAGCAAAACAGGTGAACTGTTCCTGTGAGGTTTTGGAATGGGTCAGGATGTTTCCATGAAATTTAATGACAACATTTTTGTCACTCCTTTTCCTTCCCCTGCATTGTCACTGATGCTCTTTGCCACGGTTGGAGAGGCTACATGCTTACACAGAGCCCAAGAAATGCAACTTCCTCTCTGTTTTGCAGTTCTGATCTGAACTTACTGCTGTTAATGAAACCATGGTCATAGCCAGTGCTTCAGACTGTCCAGCACAAACCCTGGAGTGAGGCTGCTTTTTAACACACCTATTCCCAGTGACAGGCAGCTGATGTAAGTCCCTTTGAGTCAGGATGACTAGTTATTGATCAGTTGGCCCTAGCTGGAAGCTGGAATGCAGCATCTTCTCTGGATGAAATGCACATGTTCATTGTTTCATCTTTGTTGGAGAAAAATGGTTTCTTTTGTATTAACAATTTGTCAGACCATCTGCTTTCATCTTGCTGGAACTGATTCTGTTTGGTCCTAACATAGCTCCTCTTATTTGGAGATACATCACTATTAGAGTGTTTGGAGTTCAACTGTTCCAGCTGCATTTTTAATAACTCTTTTTCTCTTAAGAAGTTGTTAAAAAAGCTCAGGATTAAAGTTTTATTCCAGCATATCTTTATGTTTAATGAATGGAACTCATCATAGAGAGTAAACTTTCAAATACTCAAAGGGAGTGCACAGTCCCAGACTGGATCAGGTTGGAAGGGACACAGTGGCTCATCTGGTCCAATCTCCCTTCCCCAGCACGGCCATCCCAGAGCACATGGCACAGATGAATTGCTGCAAAACGAGTTTGGAAGGGTAAAGTATCATATGTGGAAAAATGTAACATGTAAAAACGTGTCATATCATTGATCCAGAGCATTTTTTAACAGACAAAATATGACTCTTCTGAACACCACCAGACCCTTCCTATGAAATCTAGAAATTTGGACAAAATTAGACTTTGATAAATGTTTAGTTCTTAAGCTTTGGAGCAACCTGAGTGTGCTCCCCAAGTCTTGGAAGGTGTTCTCACCCATCCTCTAAATCACAAGGGTCTCTCAGCTGACTCTCCAGGCTCCTGGTCTGTGCCATAGGTAGTTTTGTAGTATATTTTATATACATGCTGAAAACTGGCAAACTAAATGCCCAAGTAGGTGATATCTGGAAGCTTATGTTTAGTAACAGGAGTAGTCAAACTACTCTGAACTGTTACAGGTGCTTTGAAAAGTTCTAAGACAATTCTGACAACTTCTGCTGTTGCCAAGAAGGTAAAGACTTTGTTACTAGGTCCATGTTGAAACAAATCAAAAGATGCACTTCAGATCGCTGCTGACAGCAGTGAGACCTTCCTTCAGGTGCTGCAGGATCAGACAGTTAATGGGTTAGAAGGATGTTTTATGCAGATTTGAGTCTTTGATGGTTGGTTTACATTCAGTGCTAACAGCCTGCTCCAGAAAGATTATTTACATGCTTGGGAAGAGAGTAAGAGCAGAGGAGACAGTGCCTGCTCACTGATTTGGAAGTCTAATCCTTTCACTTGCTTGAGGGAGAGCTGAATTTTTGTGGTTCAAGCTTCATTTTAATTATCAAAAAGTAATTCAGGCTGAATATCTTGCATGGTTTAAGTTGGCCTCAACAGGATTTGTTCGTTACACTGTTAAGCCTAAATCATTCCTTAACATCAGTGGTAAGTTCCAGTGTAACATTACTAGCTGGAAAAGGAAGCTTTAGCAGTGATGTTTGAATGACTTTCTCGTGGAACAGTCTTTGGTGTGCATTGAGGATGGTGTAGTCTGTTTGAGAGGTGCTGTGTCAGCAATCTGCAAAGCTCTTGGGAACTGAGGATTTACAGGACAGGAGCTGACAGAACAGTGGAGCTGCTCACCCTGTAGTGAACCTCACTTAGGGCAGCAGTAGCTACAGAGAAGTGAGAAAATCATCTCAAACACTGGGAGAACCTAAATAATTCACTGACTTCAGTTTCTGTACAGCCTTTCATTTTCTAAACAGGCTTCACCTATCTCTTGAACACTTCAAACCTGTTCGTGGGTGAGAGAAAAGGACAAACTTTCTTAACTTCTCCAACAGGAAGTTGTTTTACAGCGACCTGAGATGGTTTGTACACCACAGTCAGTTACTGAGAGCAGGAGAATTGTGTGCTTGGAATTAAGCTTCTAAAAATCTGCACAAAATTCTCTAAAGAAGCTGTTAATGTTTTCTGTTCAGATCCCATCCCTAGGAGCAGATCACAGCCTAGGGATGGGAGATGTCAGAAGATTTACAGAAGATGTTGGTGTGAATTACCAATGTAAGATGGAAATACAGGTTCTAGGACTAAAAAAATCATGTTAGCTTTCCCTGGCAAAAAAATATGCTTGAAACCACATCTTTGTTTGTTATACAATGATTCAGGTGCCAAAACATATTTGCCTAGAATTATTTAGACTTTCTGACACCAATGTTTGTTTCTGAAAACTCCTTCTGATACTCTAAGGGTCTCAAAAGTCTGAATGCAAACCAGTTCTTGCTCAGCTACAGTCAAAAATGCACAGCTTGGAGAAAATCAAACAAGGATTACCAAACTTGATCCATGAAGTATCAGATCTTTCAAGGGATATAAGACTGTCCTGAAATCTGAAGATAACTGATGAGCTCTGACATCTCAAAATGATCAGGGTCAGCTTTTTCCTCCTTCCCCCTCCCATTTCCCCTCACCCAACCCTGAATGTTTGCCACAATGTTGGCAGAATGCACATGCCACGAACAGCCATTCATGAATACTGGGGAAAGTTCTAATGGCTTAGAGTTACTTGGTGCTTCCTATTTTCTGTGGAAAATCAAGGCAGTAGGATGAGTCCTCTTGATCTAGAGTAAAGACTTCTCAGCAGAAACAATTTTGCTGTTCCTGTTGCATCATCCTGCAAGTTGAGGTTCTTAAATTTTTTGCCTAAACACTAACTAGAAACTTTATTCAAGGAGCAAATTACCTTTGTGAAGGAAATTCTTTTAAGAAGGTGTTTTCTTTGCTTCATTCCTGTTGATGTTTTCACATATGTATTGCTGAACAAACCAACTGCTACTTCTCCTGAAGGAGACACCACTCTGTCATGCCCTGTCAGTGTGGGTGTGATACTCCATCCAGTTGTTGCACTTGAAGACACTGTAACTGACACCTAGGTAGAGTCACTGCTCTCTTGCCTCACTGCTACTCACGTTACCGTATGTATTTCCTATTAAATCCATGATGTTTCCTTGACAATTGCTTCTTTGTTTCCTTATGGGATTTAGCCAAGAATAGGTGGTGAGTGTCTCTCTTGCTGCAAAGGTTCTCTAGGAGTCACAGCAGCAAATACTTGTAAGGAAAATGGTAATTCCTCAGCCTTACGAAGCTATTTCAGTAGCTGAGACCTGTGCCATGATTGTATGACACCACATAATGGAGACTAAAAGCACATTCACCTGGAGGAGCAATTTATTGTAAGGCTTTCCTAAACTCTTCTGTATTTTAACTTCCTTTT